CACTATAATACTCCTTGAATTGGATTCAAATTATATTGATAGTGTACATTGTACGTAACAGCCAGAATTATGTTTATAATATTAAATATTAAAACAGTTGGAAGTAATTAGAGATGTGTGTGCATTTGTTGGCTATTTATAATTTAAAGTAAAGAGTGATATGAAATAAATGTGTGTAAAAACCTTATCACGCTTAATAAATGAAGGCGGTATATTATTACTTTTATTATCGTAATCATTGTTTTGGATGAAATCATGATATATTTTTGTCCAATTCGGAATATCGTTGGGGTTAACCTCTCAAAAAAAGTTAAAGGCTAATGTAATAATGTTATTTCCAATAATTCGAGAGAAGTTACATATCTAATATTTAAGAATTAGTCGTAGGGAGTAGTGAAGCGACATCGACAGTCTTAAAGCTGATTAAGGAATCTCTAGCATTAAATTTGTGCGCAAAAGAAATTAACTTAACAACGGCAGTACACATCAATTTACAATTAAAATTTAACTAAAAATAAGGTTTAAAAAACGCCTCTGCATGTGTGAAAAGTGAGGAAAGATGAAACAAATACCGGGATATCAAGATCATCACCGGCGATTCATAGTCTGCCCGATGAAGTATCATAAACAGCGTTCGTGGCGCAAATAGTGAATGTGCCAATACGATATTATTTCATATTTCAACTTTTACCAATTTGTGATTGTGGGAATTTTTCGTCCGCGAACAAAACATCGAAAACGTAAAACCATCAAGGACAAAATATACATTTTTAAAAACCATCCACTTCAATATATGAATGTTTAAACCTCGGTGTTATCACAGAACATCGATGTTTCGAAGACATGTTCCCTAGGGATTGGGCATCGATGACGCTTGCCCAACGATGGGTGGCCTGCCCCATCACGAGCAGAGAATCCATGTTTTGTAGGTTTTAGGCAGCACGTGTGGCGTCACGTGTGGCGTCACGTGTGGCAGCACGTGTGGCCTCACGTTAGGCAGCACGTGTGACGTCACGTTAGGCAGGTCCGCTGCAGTTGTGGCTGCGATGGCCGGGGGTGCGTCGGGGTGGCGGCGTCGGCGCGTGGCCTCCATCACGTAGAATCGTCCGGACGTTGACTCTGGCGGTGGCGGCGGCCGCACCCACACCCCGTCCGCCCGCCCGTCTTCCTTCCTTTGTAGTCCTCCCCTCGCCCCGCCCGCCCTGGCGGGAGAGCGTGGGGCGGCGGCGGCCAGACAGCTCTGCGAAGGCTTTTCCGACATCCGGGCGCCTCGCCGCCGCCGTCCCCGTCTGTCGGAAGTTGGGGTGGGGGTTGGGGCGGAGAAGGTCGGCGCCGCTGCACTTACGCGGTGGCGTCGCCGCCGCCGCCGCCGCCGCCGCCGCCGTCGCCGTCGGGGTGGTGGCGGTGGACGTCGACGTCGCCGTGGGCGGTGGCCCGCTGGCGCCGACAGTTGGCTCCGTGGCCCATTGGCGCCTTTCCACGTGACCCGGTCACCAAGCCCGCCTCCGGAGGTGGCCCAAGGGCCCCCCGAAAAAGGGAAAGATCAAAGCGGTTATTCACGAAATCGTACGAAGTTAGCATACGCAGTAGGGATTTGACATCGACAACAAAAGATTGATGTTTCTGGACATCGGCGCTCAAGATTAAAACATGGATGTTAATAAAACATCAGCCGAAAACCATTGTTATTAAACATCGATGTTTTTTAGACTAGATACGTAACCATTGACGTTGATATGGGATGGGGGATTTAATTTCGGACTTATCTGTTATTTTTCGTTGGCATTTTTCTGACAAAGCAAAGTCAAAAATAATCATCAGTATAATTAACGAAAATTTGATTATGTGGTTGACAATTCAACACAACGTAGGCTTCTTTATTAGTAAATCAATTTTATTTATTTGTTATTTGCTTGCCACTCGGCGTGAAGAATATTTAATTTATGGATATCTGGAAATTATTATATAATTATGTTATGATGGCATGTTTTTTTTTAATTTAAAAAACATCAGGCACGTAAAAACATCAAAAACACAACATCAATGCTAAAAACACGACGTGAAAATATTGACATCGATGTCGCATCCCTAATAAAAATATCGTACAAAGTATATTCACTTCGTGAAAATTCCATTCTACTAACATTGTCATCGCAATTGGACTGGCCATCTGCGAAAGGTGACACAAAATCGGAAATAGTTAACTGGAAACAATGAATTATTAGAATATTTGAGATGAAAAATACTTACTACGAAACTCGTTATAGTTTGCTAATAGTGAGGAATGGATTATTAGAATACTTGTGGTATAGTAAAATTCATTACAAAATCTAGATCTGTTCCGCAAAAATATCATATACGTTAGTTTAAAAACTGGTTTAATTTAGTGTTAAAAAATGCTCCTTATCTTACGTATTTGCGAACGCCGCCCTTGCTAGGCAAGGCGATTTGCTCCAGTGAAGGAATGAACAAACCTTGAAATTGTTCTTCACCATGCCCCTGCTCCTCCAACTCGTTCTTTGTTTTCATTTTTAAAAACCCTTCATAGATATAAAAATAAATTTCAAGAGTAAACTTTCAGCGTAAATCCATATTAAATGTTAATAACGTTCGTACCCACAAAATGTGCATCTCACGTAGCAATTCAGCCTGTTGTGGATAGTTTCAAAAGGTTTGAAACGGTTAGTGTTTTTTTTTTAATTTGTGAATGTCTCATTCATTTTTTTTATAAATTGAAAGAACTAAAATTAAGAATAGAAAATGCTCCCTATATTTTTTATGGTTCTAGCCATTATTATAATTAATAATAATGACAACAAATATTGCTTTTACTGTTATTATTATGGGACGACATACATTTACTTCTTACAAGTTATATTCATTGTTGGCAACGAATCATAACAAAAAGTGGTTTCTCCTGAGAACTCCTTCGGTGGGTTCTCATGAGAAACACTAATCAACGTTACCTAGGACCGTAAAATTAAGGGTCTGAACGTATGGAAGAGCTGCATCTCGCAAGAAGACTGTTCTCCAACGACCTTGGACTTGTGTAACACAAAGTTCATAAGATGACTGAATATATCCACGTGTTTTGGATGCTCTTAAGCTTTAGAATTTGAGAAATGTAATTAGTACATTTTAATATCATTTAAAAGGAAATTGTACAATATAATAATGTCGAACGGCTTGTAGACTTCAGCGATGTAACAACCTAGAGCACACTTCAATAAAACCCAAGCATTAAATGAAGGTATATTTTTATCGGTTAAATGTTCACAAGAAAACTGACCCTTTCATATTTGCATGCCTAAATTTTAAGAAAACAAAACTTGAGCGTTTTAAGGAAATTTCACCCGAAAGATATGACGATCTAATTCTTAAGTATATATCACAGAAATTAACTGGAAGTTTGGTTAAATAACGAAAAATGGTGACATATTGAATAGCTTCTAATGAAAACTTTGCAAGTTTGTTTATCTCTAGGAAAGTAGCAATTTTTAAGATATGTGTTGTTAAAATTTAGCCATAGATATTCATTTTTACATCTTCCGATAAATTTTCCGTTTTAACAATTGGAAACCGATAAATTGGTCAAGGCTTCCTAAAATGGCTTTCACTCACAACTTCATCGCTTTGATTGTTTGTATTTTTTATGTTGGAAGTAATTAAAGTAAGCTTTTTTTAAAAAATTTATTTTATTCTATTAGAACACGTTCATCTTTGCCCTTCCCCATTACAAGGTACGTCTCAAACGCCCTCCGGTGAGCGCAAATGGCGGAAGGGCGTGAACAAACGAGAGTAGGTGTATTGTTGCGGTAGGTTTTGAGCCCCAACGTTCTCGGCAGCTCTCTTCCTCGTCGCCAGCCCGGTGGCGCAGGCGAGCGAGCCGGTGCCGTGCGCAGAGACAGGCGTTGGCGGCGATGCTCACAGTGGGCGGAAACGCTCTAAAAAGAGCACAGAAAACGTTTCTGCGAGAAAGGCACGTGTTTGAAACGAAGAATTGAGCCCAAAACCATTTATCAGTATACCATTTCAACGGGCCACAAGGAATTTTTATGCCCTTCGAAAGTACTAAGCTGCAAGTGGGCAAATAATGGTTTGAGATCTGTAATTGGAGTTTATAGCATCTGTCTTAATAGGGCAATAGAAATTGAGGAATTTTAATAATTTTTAAGTATCAGAAATAATTTAATTTATCGTATTACAATATATAATAACAATAATAATACTGATAATGATACTATAATAATAATAATAATAATAATAATAATAATAATAATAATAATAATAATAGTAATAATAATAATCAGAAATACTATCAAAATAAAACCCGCCGTCGCCGCCAGCCAAAACGACACAAATTTGATTAAATTAAATTCGAATGAAAGAGTGGGACTTTCTGTAATTTGACTTTTTTTAATCGCCAATTTATGTTAAATGGACGGTTCTGCAAGATTTATTGTTACAGAATTACGTAAGAAACCTGTATTTTCACCTTTCTTTGAGAACACCCAAACCCATTTTTGAATGTTTTTAATAGATTGCAAAATCGTTCTTATTGAAAATTAACTCATAATCGTAATATTTTCTGTAATAATAGTAATATTAGTAGTAGGAATAGAAATATTAGGAATAGGAATAGAAATATTAGGAATAGGAATAATATTACTTCTATGTATAATCATTAATGAGGTTTTCCTGTAACAGTTTCGGCTAAAAGTAGTTTTTCGTCTCTCCTACCTAAGATGTCATTTTGCACCACGTGCTTTTGAAAGAAAGACGACGACGAGGACGCGCGCATTTCACCGCGTTGTGCCCCACTGTGCGCCGGCAGCGGAGCGCATGTGTCTCGGCTCCCGCCCCTGCCCCCTCCCAGTCCCCTCCCCACCCGGCCGCCGCCGCCGCCGCCGCCGCCGCCGCCGCACCGCCGGTCGGCGCGCGCCACGTTCCGCCGCTCGCCACGTCGCGGTCACTAGGCGCTGTCGTCCGTCGCGGCCGTCCCTCGGCGATTCCGTTTTCCGCGTCCATCCGCGCGCCCGGCCCTTCGCGCGGCCATGGGTATTCTGCGGTCGGCTCTGCTAGGCGCCGGCGACGCCGCCGCCGGCGCCGCCTCCGCCGGCTGTTGGACGCTGCGCGGCCGCGGAGGCTCCAAGACGCCCGCCGCGAAGCCGTACTCGCCCCCGCGCTGGACGCCGCTCGGCTTCGACGCCCAGCCGCCCGCGTCGCCCGCCTCGCCCGCCACGCCCCGCAGGAGGACCGTGTCCGCGGGCGGCGGCGGCGGTGGCAGGCGGACCCGCGGCTTTCGCCGGCACGTGCTCAGGACGTAGGTTCATCTTTCTCGAATGTTCTCGATTTTTTAAAAACAATAATACGCGAGCGTGTGTAGTGTGTTTTGGCGTTTGGGTTTATGCGTTTTGAACGTTTTTGTGCGTGTTGGAGTGTCATTGTGTGGGATTGTGATTGAGTGTGCCTGTGAGAGTTTGTGTGTGTGTGTGTTCACGTTTGTAACAGTTTTGAGTGTGTCTGTGTGCGTTTGTGATTGTATGTTTGGATGTGTATTAGTGTGCGTTTGTGATTGTGTGTTTGGGTGTATGTAAGTGTGTGCGTTCGTCTGTCTATCCAGGGTGCGAATTAACAAAGGGGTGTGGATAGCTGCGAACCCTTACTCCCCACACCCCAGCAGAGACTTTGGTTGCAAAGAAATTAATACACCCCTTGCAGGGATGTCATTAATCCATAGCTAACCGACACCTATGATTTTTACTACGGAATATCGAAATCAGGGGCACTGGAAAGCATCCTTGGGGTTTATTCAGACTGTGCTCCGAAAGTGATATTGGTTTCATTCTTCCAATTGTCCCTCCTTGGATTTTGTGAATTCGCGCCCTGGTACCACGTGCAACTGTCTCCGCTCTTCTAGTTTTCTCGATTTTTCTCTATTTTTCTCTTTGTCTGTCCGTCTGTGCATGTAAATATTCGGGTTTCTCTGAGTGATCGAAATGTGCCGCGTGTCGATTTTTAATGCGAATGCGCTTGTATGTGGAAGCGAATCAATTTCTCTTGTGAACCACGCGAAGTAAACTCGTGCAAACCTCTCCCTGTTTGCTAGAGTCAATATTATATGCGTTTGGAGCTGAGCAGGTTAGCGGTGTATGCGTACGGCGGCTGATTTTCCTACCCTATGTTGCAGCATGCCGATATTTCCTTGTTTAGTGGGGATGGTCGGTGCTTATCCATCATGATGCATGATAACCCTCCGCTCGCCGGTGCGTTCGAAAATTTATTGTAGAATATAGTATGTAGAAGTAGTTGCTGCATGCCGCAAACTGAAATGACAATGTGTTTGCGTACGAGTTATTCATGTGGTTCGTACGAGTTCGTAGTTGCGCGCGTTATTAAAGTAGTTCATAAGCAGAGGATAAGCATAGGGGATTTTGTATATTATATAATATATATCCTACAATCTGTGGGGCTAATAATTTCCCCGCGCCCGCGTGTCGTACTGGCTATTAAGATCCGTCGATAATGGTTGTATTCTATGCACATGCCCTGTCTCTACATGCGAATGCTTTTTTGCCGTTCATAGGATTTTTTTTTATTGCTCACGTATTGTGTTATTGGTAGTAAAAGCTTCAAGACCTCTTGAATGTCATCGAAACGCGTGTTGCAGTGCATTTGTTACATGATTCGTATCTTGGACATTTTGTTTTTTGTTACTCTTATTGCGATCGAAATTATCAGCGGACAGATGAAATCGATGCTAATGCACGAAGACGGTTCTCGAGGGTAATAATTAGAAACTTCGTTCTACATCCAATGAGAGTCCGAAGACTTTGGGACCAGCTTAGATATTGCAATAATGTACTTTTCATAGATACTGATAATGATCCGATATTGCCTTGTAGTAATGTGATAATCCCCCGTAACATTTTCCAATTAGCAGTAAGTCAAGTATCGCTTTGTCATTGCAGTAAGCGAAGATTTTTTCATACTCGACGTCACTAAACTATTTAACTTTCTAGAGTTCTCTCTGATATTCCTAGAAAACACGGATTGTCTCCAATTTCAGAAGCAACATTGCATTTGGTGACAGTCTTTACATAACCTTACGGATCTCTACTAGTTCAGTTCTATTACATTGTGTTCTTCAGTTCCAGGATAGGGCGTAGACCTATATTGTTTGAGCGACACGTCGTTTGACAAGGCATCGGGCCGCCAAGATAAAACGGTAGGGCCTGTTTACTCGACGATAATTTAGTGATAAAAAAGCACATTCGTGGATAGTTCGCCAAACTCTTCCTGAAATAAAAAAAAATGAATCTCCATTTGTTTATTAAAACATGTAGAAATGTACTGCAGTTGTATCGTCGTGTCTATTTCTTAGGTGGTTGAGAGTTATTAACGATGATATGCAATGCAGTTGCAAACCGCTGTATTTATCTTCGCGCATCGCATTGTTTTTAATTATTTTACGTTAAATTAAGAAAAGCCCTGTATGAAAAAACGAGTGTTTTTATGATTTGGTTAGCACTTTCATCATGTGTACCAGCTGTACCATTATCTCACCTGTGATAAGCGAACAGATATATACGCTCATGTACAATTATGCTATTACATAAATAGAATGACATTCGAAACCCTGATCAATTTCGTGTAGGAGTAGAAATATGAATTGTAATAAACAATAGCACAAACTCAGGTGCGCTAATACAAAATTAAACATAAAAAAAGATTTACACAGATGTCTAATTCATACTTGCGTTTAAATTAACTGTGTATATGTTGGATGACTTAAATTAAAACTTATACAGAGGTTGAGGTTACCCATGGCTCCTCTAATCGGCATCTAATTTGGAGAGTTCCTTGTAACGATTATTGGTTGCATACCAGGGAGCGTTTAAAGTAATTCTGAGAAATTGATTTTGTACTGACAAAATTAAACTAATCGTGTAGAAATTTCATTTATACCACTAGTGAAAAAATTCTCTCTGTCTGGCACAATCTTGTTCGACAACTCGATCATATCTGCCCGAGCGACTGCTTGATACCATTCGGTGATCACTGCTCTGGCGGGGGTCAGGCGCTCGTCCAGGATGGTTGTGACATTGGCAACAAAATATCGACGTTTCTAAACATCGGTGATCAAAATTAAGACATCGATCTTCAACAACATTTTGTGTTTAGTTCCAAGTTTTTAAGAGGGGTTGGGTTAGTAAAGATTGAAGTTTACTTGGAGGAGGATTTAATTTATAAGAGCTCTCGCTTGTTTATTTTGATTGATTTATCCTGACAAAACAAAGGCAATTATCAGGATAGTAAACAAAACATAGATTATCTGATTCGATAATTTGAAAATAATATAGGCTTCTTTATTGGCGAAATCTGAAGCTTAACTATTTTTCACCCCTGGTCACTTTGGTCGTATATCTGAAAATTATTGTACAATTTTGTTACGATAACATTTTTTGAATTAACAAATATCAACTACGTAAAAACATCGGACACTCAACGTCGATGTTTTGCAAACCTCGATGTCGCATTCCTAATGTCCAGTGCGAGTGGCAAGAAGTCTCAGAGAGACGGACCCTGGGGTGGCGTAACCCATCACTTCTCGTTAAGCTTAATTTGGCTGAATCTGGAGTCACGTGACGTCGTTTGTAATTGTCGCACTCTCCGGACTGGAAAAATAACGAGCGGAGCGCTTGTACGTGAGCGACTGGTAGTACATATAGTCACATGTGTGGCTGTCGGTACACGACACGGTGTTTGTGGTTAGACGTTTGAACAGGTCTTGAGCTGAGCCACAAAGATGTTATTATTATTAATTATCATTATTATTATTATTTATTATCAATATTATTATTATTATTATTATTAAAAGCAGTAGTCTCCTCGGCGAGGAATTAAACCGGGTATATTGGTTCATTTCGTCTGACCCCGAGAGGAAAGCTTCGAACAATTTCATTGACCCGGGGAACGTCAGGGATTGAACACTTTTACAAAAATAAAATGTTTTATTTCCGCAAAGCAAGGAGGTCCATTTCAAAATTTTCGAGGGGACGGGCACACCCCCTTTCCCCTGTGCTATTGATTCAAGTGTAAGACGAATTGACAGGGATCCGCTAAAAAAGGATTATCCAATCGGGAACTTCGTTAAAACTTCAGTTGATGTTGAAGTTCCCGATTGGACAACCGCGTGCCTAGCTGATCAGAAGTCGATTTCCCCTACGTTTAAATCGGAGTAGACGTAGTCTAGTAAAGAATCCGTGTGCTCGGAGTGCGTGGGTGTGAGAACGCGGATGGAGTAGGCCCCGCAGAGTGCTCGCTGACGTGTCGTTTTCGGGTGCTCGCTGGCTCGCCCGCCCGCCCCGAGGGCGCGTTGGGGTGGAGTGCAGAGCTTGATGCAGCGTTGCCAACCCCTGCTTCTGGCGCATGCGCTACGCATTTTCGTTTTTTTTTTTTTTTTTAAGCGTAGAGTTTTTAACAGTTTACGTTTTTCCGGCGGTGGACAGAGTTCGCGTTTGTTTCGATATTGACGATTCGTTGATTTCTCGATAGTTTCGACGTATCAGAACTTCAGTTTTAAATATTTGATTTAGTAATCAAGTATTTATTTAGTACGGTAAAACGTGTTCAATGCGGATCGTGTATTCTGTGAAAATGTCTAATATGAACATAAATCGCGGTCATAGATTCTACAGAACTACATGGCGTAATGCGAAATATTTCCAATACGGAAATACAATTCTGGTCCCTTGAGATTCCATATTGAAAAAGTTTTACTGTTTTAGTACTTAATTATTTGGTAATTTGGTATTTCAGTATTAGAGATGCTTCGCGTATCTTGAATCAGCTTGGCGTATACCACGTGAGTTTCCGCGCATGCTCAGAGCCTCGAAAGTGGGAAACGTTAAGTTGCTCCTAGCTGTGAAAACTAAAGTCCGTGTTACGCTTGATAATATCGTGATGTCGAAACCGTAGTAACGGTTACGAATACTAGAGTACTGGCATGTAAAATATCGATTGTTCTAGTCTTCAGCACTTCGAATGCCTTCTTTTCATTTTGGCGGGTTGAAACGACGAAACTTAAGGGATAGTTGACGACCTGACGAATTTTTTCGTATTTTGCAGTATTGTGCCGTATTTTTGCGTATTGTTCAAATCGGTATACTTTTCTGGACGATGCCAATCATTATGCTCTGTGTAAACATGCCATGCATCTTATCTCTGGTTAATGGAATGTTTAGTACCGTCGTTTATACTATGTTGCCGCCCCCCTCCCCTTGGGCCACCCTCTTAATTACTCTTTCTCTCTCCCTCTGCTTTTTTTCTGTCTCTCTGTTGTTTTTTTCGCTTGAACTGGGACGTGCCGGATTCTCTCTCGAGCATGGCGGCCCGGCCGCTCGTTTGAAGACGCCGCTTGATAAGGACTGCGTTTGACACATTTTCCTCAGCCGTCCGGGAGGAAACACGTGTTGCAGACGGCAAAGGAACAGACGAAGCCTCCACACACTCGACCCCCC